CCCTGGGTTGGCCATGGGATGGCACCGCAATTTTACCTTCTGAATTGCAAGGTGAAACGCTCAGAAAGCAAAGGAGTCCCGCATGAGGACGACCTGCTTGAAGGCACTCAACAAAGCACAGGGAGGCTGGAGGGCCTCGAGGTTCGTGCCTGGGCTCCTGAGAGGAAGATCATTGCGGGCAATCACTGGCGTCCAGGAGGCCTTGACCATCCTCCAGAATCAGAGCTTCCGGGTGCCGCTGTCATGCTTTTGCAGCAGCACAAGCCAGTAAAGGGACAGCGATGCTGCCACCATGGTGACACGTAAGCCGGGAAGGTGCATGGCTGCCCCGGAGGCCACAAAGAGAGAACCTGCCCAGCAATGCATGGGAAGAACCCTCTCCAGCGTCACGGCAGCCTTCCTTGGGCTCAGCACTGTTTCTCACCACGACAGGACACGGCCTCCTGGCTGACTTGCGTGTCTATCACCTTGCGGTTGCACCACCCAGACACACTCTTTCAGAAATGCAAAAGAACTCTAAAAACAGCTGTGCTGCTTAGAAGCCATAAATGTGCCCGTGTCACCACAGATTACAAAACTGCTTTCCTGCTCTTCAGTTAACGGCAGGGTTGAAGGTCAGGGGCGCATGCTGTGTACTTTCCATGCACAGCAACGTGGAAACTTCTCAGAGGCCGGCATTGCAACATGCTCAAAGGCACGGCGGCTCAGTGAAAGGTTCAGAGGAATCTGATGGATACCTACGCTTCCAAACGTGATGGGTTCACAGGAAGCTGGTTTGCCATTCCAGTAGGATTTGTTCGTTTCTAACTGGCACACCTCCAGGTTATCGAGGTCTACCCATGAGGAACTTTGGATACTTCTTGCAGGCATCATGCAGGACAGAACCACACGTACTCTCCAACCTACACGTGCAGAAACAAAAGTCCTGCAAGGGTTTAGGTCATGTCCCTCCTGTGTCCTGGACAATGCTCCCTGAGAGAAAGGAACCTAAGCAGGTGTGCTCACATGCGCAAACCTAGACCTGTGCATTCTTGCCTCAGCTGAGCACCCAGGCTGCAGCACAAGCATTTGGCACGCAGAATGGAATGGCTAGGAATCCCGAGGGGCAAATGTAAGGAGAATTTCCTGAAATTCCTGCAGGAGAGCTGTCCAGAGAAACAGCCATGGAGAGGCCCAGCGGTTGCCCGGTTGTGTAAAGCATGGAGAATGGAGGTCGATGACTGGTGGCTTCCTGGGGTACTTGTGTGGGCAACAGTGTCATTTCCTGGCCTTGTGAAGGCAGTGGAAGGCCAAGGGGTGGGGATGTGAGAGAGTGAGGGATGGGTGAGTATGTCACATGATCAGTTCCACTATGAGGAGCCCATAAAACACGTGAGTGGAGGTGTCCCCTTGGAAGCCGCACGCATGCACTCAAACCTCAGAGGTGCAGTTCTGCCTGGGGCCACAGAGCTGCCACACCCAAGTTATTCATGGCCTTCTTGCTGTCCCCAGAGCAAATGTTACAGGGGCAGAGCAAGAGAGGCAGGCAGCTGAAAGGGGAGACTGATGGGCAACAGCTGAGAAGAGCCATGGAGCCCAGCACCACTGCTGTCAGTCCCTGGAGAGGCCGACAGCTGCCATTCATGCATGGCAGGCTGACAGAAGGAACAGAAACCCTAGCACGGATTTTGGAGAAGTTCAGGTTCAGTCTGAGGTAGGGCCGCGACATGGTCGGCTCCGGAGGGATGCATTCCTCTTGGGAGCGCTGCAACATCTGTGTCACTGGGTGAGACCCACGTGCTGTGCTCTCCTTGTTCAAGAGTGGGAGAAGTCGAAGGACCCCAGTGGGCTCCCACAGCCCTTGGCACACGGGGAGCTGTAGGACTGTACTGCAGCAGTCAGCCAGCCTGTCTCAGCACTGCAGCCAGCCCAAGCCCCAGTCCTGGAAGAAAGCAGGACCCGCATCACCTGTGAACCTGCCGTGCTCAGACACAGCAGCCCTGATCACCCTGGCCACTCCTGTGGGCCCCAGCCAGGCCTCGAGGGCAAGGGTCTGTCGTCTGCCTTGGCAAAGAGGCTTCATCTGTTTGTGACAGCTGTCAGAGTGAGGGAGAACAGTCACTCAGGGAGGAGAGGGTGCCTCATCTCAGGGCTGCAGGGCAGATCCTGTGTCTGAGCTGCAGGACCCAGGCTCACCTGTTGTGGCCTCGTCTGCTTCAGCCAAAGGACCTGCACCTCAGCTTCTTGGATGCAATGTAGGCATGCAGACATGCACCTGCCAGGCTCAGTAGGAGGAACACAAGCTCTCAAGACCACTGGGACATGCACAGCTGCCTGAAGAGGGACTGGGACAGCAGATGTTCCACGTCTGTATTGGAGCTTCAGAGACAGACTTTGGATAGGACAGAGCAGGACAGTGGAGGTGGACAGTCATCAGTCTAAAGCAACACAGGAGAGTCGAGGGCGACAGTGGACAGTGGAGGGAATACAGATGCACAGTGAGCGCATCAGAGCAGGACAGGGGACAGGTCAGAAGACACAGTGGAGGGTGACACAAACAGTGAGGAAAGACACAGGAGGACCACGGATAGCATAGGACAGGACATTGAGGGGTGGACAGGGGTCGACTGTGGAAGGTGACACAGGAGCAGACCCAAGTGGACAGGGAAAGGAGCAGGGGACAGTGGAGGGAACAGAGGGCAGTGGAGGGGTCCTAGGACTACGGTACAGAGGTCAGAGAGGCCAGTGAGGGGGGGGCAGTGGAGGGTACACACACGAGGACGGGGAAGGCAAAGGAGGATCATGGACAGGGCAGAGCTGGAGAGTGGGGGGACGGAGGAGGACACTGATGGGACACAATTGGACAGTGAAGTGGACAGCGGCAGACCGTGAGGGGGATGGAGGGGAACAGTAGGAGATGAGAGAGGACAGTGGAGAGGAGCACAGTGAAGCGGACACGGGTGGCCCCTGGAGAGGACCGACGCGGACAGTGTAGTTGACTTAGGAGGACTGTGTGGGAGCAGAGAAGGACGGTGTGGGAGATGGGCGTGCAAGTCGAGGGTGGCAGAGGAGGTCGGTGACGGGACAGAGGACAGGGAAGTCAGGGGAGGACCGTGAATGGGACAGAGGACAGGGAAGGCAGAGGAGGTCAGTGACGGGACAGAGGAGAGGGAAGGCAGGGGAGGACCGTGAATGGGACAGAGGACGGGGAAGGCAGGGGAGGACCGTGAACGGGACAGAGGACAGGGAAGGCAGGGGAGGACCGTGAACGGGACAGAGGACGGGGAAGGCAGGGGAGGACCGTGAACGGGACAGAGGACGGGGAAGGAAGAGCAGGACCATGAACAGGACAGAGCTGGGGCGTGGAGGGGACAGAGGGGCGCAGTGGAGGAGACAAGGGAGGACAGCGGGGAACAATGGATGGTGACAGAGGAGAGCGAGGGCAGCAGAGGAGAGGAGTGGACAGCGACATCGAGCCGCGCGGGAACCGCCATCCTCTGGCCACTGCCCGTCACTGCCTGCGCGGGCTGAGGGTGTCCACGTGTTTCACTGGAGCCTCCGCTCGGCGCTGCTCACTGCGGTCCAGGGGCCGTGCTGCGAAGCGGGGCAGAGGGCATCGCAGACCCGGACGGGGCAGGGCGAGTGAGAGGGCAGGCAGGCAGGCAGGACAGAGGGGCGCAGCGGGTCTCCAAGGGCCAGGGAAGGCAGGGGATGGGAGGGTCGAGCAGCGCTGCAGGCTGCGGGCGCGGGCGGGGAATCGCGCGCGCACCACGCGCCCACCCCGCCCCGCCGCGACCCGCGCCCCCACGCGCGCACCCGGCCACCCACCCACCCGCGGAATCGCATGCGCACTGGGCAGCTGGAGGAAAGGGCTTTTGTTGGGAGAGCGGGCGGGCGGGCTGGAGGGGTCCGCGCATGCGCAGCCTGCCGAGCCGCGGGGGGTGCGCGGAGCAAAGGGGCGGGGTGGTCCGAGCTGCTGCGCTGGCAGCAGTAGGCGAGGGCGCGGCTGCGGGGTTCCTGGTGCTGAGGACCGACGCCATTGGAGCCCCGGGGAAGGTAGGGATCCGGACGCAGCAGCCGCGGGCCGGGCCGAGGGCACGGTGACGCGCTGCGCCCTCCCCCGTGCGCTCAGGTCGGAGCGGAGCCCGCGCCCTGGGACCCGGTCGCCCGGCGGAGCCCAGCTCCAAGGGACGTCCCCTCCCCCGCGGCCGCCCCTGCGGGACCCCGGCGGCGCGCCGTGCGAGCGCTGCGCCCGCCGAGCCCACGCTGCCAGCCCGTTCGCAGCCCCGGGCGCTCCGAGCTGCGCCGCCTGCGCCCCGAGGCCCCACCCCCACCCCGGGCACTCCTAGATTACTCGCGCCGGCTGACCGCCTGCCCCCTTCCTGGAGTTCCAGTCCCTGGAGTGGAGGCTGTCGCGCGGCATCCAGTTCCAGCCGCACCTAGGTCCCGAGCGCGGCCCGCACCCCTTTGGCCCCCAGCGCGCCAGTTCGTGTGTGTGTGTGTGTGCGCGCGCGCGCGCGCAGGACCGAGTCCGGGGACCCCACCGAGTGCCCGCGCCGCCGCCTGCCAGCCAGAGGGTCCGGGCACCCTGAGCCCGGGAGCCTGGCGCGGCCCCAGTCTGTGTGCGCCTCTGCAGCTGCTCCCCCTTGTACCTGGCCACTGCTGCAGCCTTTCCCTTCAAGCCTTTGTTTCTGCCCCCTGGGCAAGTCCCCAGGGAGCCAAGCCCTCTGGAGAGCCCCAAGCCAATCTCCTGCTAGCTGGGAGACCACCCCTGCTCCCTTCTCCCTTCACTCTAGAGTCCCCTGTGATTTCATTGCCCCTTGGCGGGGTGGGGTCCGCCGGCCCGCAGCTGGGCCGCCCCAGCACACACCCACCCTGAGCAGCACTGCCTGCTAACCTGAGGATCCCCTGGCCTGGCCTCTGGGGAGACCCCGCCTCCCACTGGCTCCCTGCCCAGACCCCAGGAGGAGGTGGCCTCTGCTCCCTGTCACCATGACCCCCCTGTCCCTGCCAGACACAGCATGGCCGAGGGGAGCCAAGGCATGCAGTCGGGGAACTCCGGGGTGGAAGACATGGAAGAAGGCAGCAGTGGCAGCCGCCGGCCAGCCAGGGAGGCAGAGATGGTGGAAGGAAGCGACTATGAAGAGTTCAGTGGCTATAACCCCCTCACCAGCTTTGACCTGCACCTGCTCAGAGCTTTTGGGAGCTTGGGTTCAGGCCTGCGCTTCTTATCGGTGAGGACACCTGCCTGCCCCAAGCACCAGCTTCTTGCAGCCTTGCCTGTGGCCCTGGGAGGCTGTGGAGGGGCCTGGGGTGGTCAAGGCTGGCTGCTGGGAGGAGGGCCCTCCAGGACCGGCACAGTGAGGCAATGGTGCAAGCGTGTCCAGCTGCCTGCCTGCCTGCCCTTGTCTCTGGCCTTGCAGAATGAGCCCTGGGAACTGGACAACCCTGTGCTGGCCCAGACCCTGGTGGAGGCCTTGCAGCTGGACCCGGAAACGCTTGCCAATGAGACGGCCGCCCGTGCTGCCAACATAGCCCGCTCTGCAGCCTCCAACCGAGCCGCTCGGGCCGCTGCTGCAGCCGCCCGCAGGTCCTTCAACCAGGTGATGGGCACCCACCGACCGGCCGCAGCACAGGCTTCACGACCAGCTCGCCAGCCGGCGACAGCTGCCAGGGCCCCGGGGGCTGACCCAGAAACGAGCCCTGCTTCTCCGCAGAGCTCCCCAACGGTGGGCACCAGTGCCATGGCCGCCCCTGGGGCCCCTGGGGCTTCCTCTGCGCCATCGCCCACGGCCTGCCAGGCCCAGGAGGCTGTGTCCGAGGGCCCTAGTGCCATCAGCTCGTCCTCTCAGGCCCCCAGCTTCAATGAGATGGACGCCACGCGGCCCAACGCTGCCTTCCTGGGTCCCCGCGATGCCTTTGATTTCACTCAGCCGGCAGGTGTCAGTGGCCTGGCCTTCCCACGCCCCAAACGGCCTGCCCCGGCCCAAGAGGTGGCCCCGGAGGGCCCCAGCGATGTGCCCAATGGACCCCAGGCCGCACCTGCCGGGGAGGTGGAAGCCACCCGACCCAAGATGACCAAGTCTGGAAAGGCTCTGGCCAAGACTCGGTGGGTAGAGCCTCAGAATGTCGCGGCAGCAGCTGCTGCCAAGGCCAAGGCCGCCATGAACATGCCTGAGCCCGAACCCGCAGCTTCCAGTGCCCAGCACGGTGCCGAGCCTTGGGCCAGGATGGGAGGCAAGAGGACAAAGAAGGTGAGACCTGCTGCCCTGCCCTCTGCCCTTCTCTCCTCACATCTCCTCCTGCTCCTGGCGCTGCTCCTGCCCTGCTTCCTAACACCCCCAACCCTTCCCTCCCTCCATCCCCGTAGTCCATGCTCCTCCCACACCAGTTTGCGGAGAGTTCTCCCAGCACTCCAACATCCTGCCCTCAGCCCTGCTGACGTGGGGCCACCCAGATTCTGGCATTCATGGGCATTTCATAGGTTCCCCGCAGGGATCTGCCGCTGTGCGGCTGGCAGCACCCTTGTGGCCAGGACCTGTTGTGTGGTGGGCGGGGGCCAGATGCTGGGCACAGGCAGCCTGGTAGCCCCAAGCATCTACTCTGCATGCCGCTGCAGTCCAAACACCTGGATGAGGAACACGAGAGCGGTGAAGAGGACAGAGAGCCCGTGTCGGCTCCCCCGAGCTGGGGAGCCTACCAGCCGCCATTGCCGGTGCGACCTCAGCTGGCCCCTCGGCCCCCCATAGCTGCGAGAGCGCAGATCCCCTCCAGACACGTGCTGTGCCTGCCCCCGCGCAATGTGACCCTTCTGCAAGAGAGGGTAAGGTGTCCACGAGCCGGTTCCAGTTGCCCTGCTCTCTGTGGGCCCGGGCCAGCCTTCTGGGCGCACCACGCCTGGCACAGGACTGCCCATGGTTCTTCCTCCAACAGGCCAACAAGTTGGTGAAATATTTGATGATTAAGGACTATAAGAAGATCCCCATCAAGCGCTCAGGTGGGCCTCCTGTGCACCCTGCCAGTGCCAGCGCCAGCCGCCCCCTGGCTTGTGTGCCCTCTGCTCCCGCAGGAGGCCAGGAACCCTGCCCCCGGGATCCTCCCTGTGCTGCCCTGGGTGCGGCTGCCCGTGGGGCCACAGCCCTGGAGCACCTGCTCAGCGCAGTTGCGTTCTGCTCCCCTCCCGACCACAGACATGGTGAAGGACGTGGTCCGAGAATACGACGAACACTTCCCTGAGATCATTGAACGAGCCACGTACACTCTGGAGAAGGTGGGTGCAGGTCTGGCAGCACCATGGGACAGCAGGGTACCGGCCCTCCCATGCCCCTTCTGGGCCCTGGTTCAGTGCTGTACACCCTACAGGCCCACCATGGCCTTAGCCCCGGGGGGCTTGCCGTACCCAGTGCGATCACGCGTGGCCCTGGCCCGGCTCCTGCACTTCCTCCCAGTGTTGCAGCCTTGGGAGAGGCTCCCATGGGCTCTCTGGCAGCACGGGCCCCCACGTGACAGGCCCTACACACGTCCTGTCTTCCTGTATTCCTGCAGCGTGGGTTGCACTCTGGCACCTGCTGCCTTGGAAAAGCCCTGACAGGGCATGAGCTGGCTGCCTGCAGGGGGCAGGCCTGGGGTGTCCATCTCACACTGCACTGTGGCCCCCCGCACCCTGCAGAAGTTCGGGATCCACCTGAAGGAAATTGACAAAGAGGAGCACCTGTACATCCTCATCTGCACACGGGACTCTTCTGCTCGCCTCCTGGGAAAGTAAGGCCACAGGGCAGGGGGAGGGCGTGGCCTTGCCCTGTGGGCCTCTCCCCTGCCGGTCACGTCCCCTGAGAGACACAGGGAAGCAAGGCGCAATCCATGGTGCCCAGGGACCGCTGGCTTGGAAGGACACAGCCTGAGGCCAGGCCCTGCTGCTGGGGGTGTCTACCTGCTGCCTGGTCCCGAAGCTTGGAGGAAAGGAATTGGCCTCTTCCAGCCACATGCCACCATAGCCAGGACAGCTGGGGAGGTGGCTGCTGCTCCCGCGGGCAAAGGACCTCTGACAGCATGCCTGTTTCTCGGCCTTCAGGACAAAGGACACCCCCAGGCTGAGTCTCCTCTTGGTCATTCTGGGAGTCATCTTCATGAACGGCAACCGTGCCAGTGAGGGTGAGTGAAGGCGCCGCCAATGGAAGGCCTGCCCACGGTGGCCTCCTCGTGTGCCAAATGCTCTTTTTTTTGCCTCCCCTCACAGCTGTCCTCTGGGAAGCGCTGCGCAAGATGGGCCTGCGCCCCGGGTAGGATGGCCCCCTGGGCCCCCGCCCTCCTCTTTGCTGTGTTCTGTCAGGGGATTGCTCGGGATTACCTGGTGGTGCGGTGCAGTGGAAAGCAGCACTCTGCACGAGAGAGCACGTCCTAGGCAGCACGCCTGTGGGCAGCTCCATGTGCAATGGGGCTGTCAGGCAGAGGGCACTGTGTCAGGGCATCCCTGGCAGGTGGCCATCTGGCCCTTTGTGCAAGGGCTGCGTCTCTGTGGCGCTACCCTGAGGGGTGTGAGGCTCTGGGACACATCGAGGCACTCGCCTGGTGCGTGCGTGTCCACTCATGGGCTCCTCTCCCGGCCCCCAGGGTGCGGCACCCATTCCTGGGCGATCTGAGGAAGCTCATCACAGAAGACTTTGTGAAGCAGAAGTAAGTGCTGGCTGAGCCCGCTCTGTCTCCCTCGCTGTGCCCGGTGCTGACTGGTCAGGATGACTCTGAGCAAGACTGGCATTGGAGGGGCTGGAAGCCAACTCTGCTGATTTGCAAGCCCGTGTCATTCTGCCCATAGGCCTGGGAGACTTCCGAGTGGGCAGAGGGGTGCACGTGCACACCCACCGTAGCACAGAGAGAGGGAGAGAGGAGGAGAGAGAGCGCCGAGTGCGGGCGTGCCTGGATTACCTGCTCTTGGCTATGGCTTCCTCTCGAGTGGATTTCCACTGAGGACATTCTAGGGCGTGGTGATTTGCGCAGAGGACCCTGGCAGGAACCTGGCTCAGAGCGGGGGCATGCATGGTCGGTTCCTCTGTTGAAAGGCAGCAACGCACTGATGCAGTCCGACAGCAGAGGGTGGCACACCCTGGTTTGTGCTGCCGCTGTCTCTGCCGCACCTCCATGTGGCTTCCAGGCAGCGGGCTGGGCTGTCAGAGGCTCTGAAGTCTTCCCATTGAGGGCAGAGCTCCCAGCGGGTGTGGGCAGGGAGCTGGGCTGCAAGGGGAGGAGCTGAGCTGCAGCTTTTGGGTGCGGGCAGATGCGCCCCGGAAGTCCATGACTTCAGGGACAGGGTGGCTGAGCTGGAAGCAAAGCGTGTTGACCCGCCCACTCAGGTACCTGGAGTACAAGAAGATCCCCAACAGCAGCCCTGTCGAGTACGAGTTCCTGTGGGGCCTGCGTGCCCGCTACGAGACCAGCAAGATGCGGGTGCTGAGGTTCATTGCCCAGGTACTGCCCACGTCCATTCCCCGCCCCATGCCACACCCCGCAGAAGGTATCCAGCCAGGGTGACCCCACCCAAGTGCGGTTCCTTTCTTGGTTGCATGGCGTCCTCCTAGCTGTCCTGAATGTGGCCGAGAAAGGGCTCCTGTGGCCAGGGGCTGGGAGAGTGAGGGGAGAGCAGCAGGCCCAGGCCTAGCCTGTGCAGCAGGAGCCGCGTGGCAGCCTTCTCCCATGTGGTCAGGGCTCACTTGCAGCACCTCGGAGGTGCTGCGGGAGGAGGCAGGAGCCAGGGGCACTCCCGTGTGGGGTGGGCCCGGGACCGTGGCTGCTGTTTTGTGCCTCAGAACCAGAACCGAGATCCCCGGGAGTGGAAGGCTCACTTCCTGGAGGCCGTGGACGACGCTTTCAAGACGATGGACATGGACATGGCTGAGGAGCATGCGCGGGCCCAGCTGAGGGCCCAGATGGACATCGGGGACGAGGCCCTGATTGGACGCTGGAGCTGGGACGACATCCAGGCCGAGCTCCTGACCTGGGATGAGGATGGGGACTTTGGTGATGCCTGGGCCCGCATCCCCTTTGCCTTCTGGGCCAGATACCACCAGTACATCCTGAATAGCAACCGTGCCAACAGGAGGGCCACGTGGAGAGCTGGCGCCAATGGAGGTGCCAGTGCAGGTGCCAGCGGCGGGGCCAGCACCAGCGTCCTAGACGGCCCCAGTACCAGCTCCAGCTCCAGCGTGCGGACCAGAAACGCTGCCCGGGTCGGGGCCAGCTTCTTCTCCTGGATCCAGTAAGCTTAGTCTGCAGAGCGGGGAGGGGGTAGGGGCAGGAGGCGCAGACTGGGGGCTAGGAGAAGCTGGGAGTCAGAGCAGGGAGTGAGCAGACTCCTGTGGGGTTGCAGACGGCCCTCACGGTCTCCTGCGGGTTCTGATCTGTGTTTTCTTTCTTGTCCCCGGTGCTGACAGACACCGCTGATGCTGCAGGCATCCCGCTCAGCAAGCTGGATTTCACCTCCGAATCCTGAGCACAGCCCTATCGGCCCTGGCAGCTCATACCTGTGGGTCAGAGGTGGCGCCCAAGAGGAAGCTCTCCCGGCCCCTCCTCGTGCTTTTGTGGTGTGCTTTTGTTACATGTTACATGCTTTTGTGTGCTACATGTTTTTTAGTATCAGTGTGGTATTAAATTTGCAAAATGAACAGGAGCGAGTCCTCTGTCTGTGCTCGGAATGGTGGGTTGGGGGAGGGTTTGTAGTGATGGAGCTCCTAGCCAGGCAGCTTGTCCTCCTGGCTCTATGCTCTCAGTGGCCCCACCGTGGGACAGGCCCAAAGATTTGGGTTGCATGCTGGCAGGTGTGCAGGAAACTGCAGCCCTCCGAGATGGGCTCTGGGACAGGCAAAGCCTCCCAGAGGCTCCTGGCTTTCCTTGGCCCGACCTGCACCACCATGCCCTCCTCCGGCGGGACGCACCTACGCTCTGCAGGGGGAGAGCGCTGAGAGCAGAGAAGCTCTGGAGGCAGACCAGGACATGGGGACTCCGAGGCAGGGCACAGACTGGGGCGCCAGGAGGGCCAGATGGGGCCATGTTCAGGACAGACATGTACCCAGGGCGCACCTGCCTAGTCCCTGGACCCCTGGCTAAGCCCCTCCTGCAGACTTCCAGGGCCACAAAACCCTGAAATTCCTGTGGAAAAGTGTTGCAGGGTTGGTGGCTAGTGTGTGGCTCTTGGTGTTGCTCCTAGCTTCTCTCCAGCCAGGCCCACCCTGGCTACTCCTCCAGGACTTGTTGCAGGCTACGACTGTCAGCTCCTTTGTTTCCAGGGTGACTCAGCACAGCTGTTCTGATCATTCATGAACAATGTCTCATTTGGGTCCATATCACTTTACCTATAGCCCTGAGAGAAGGGGTGGTTGGGCCCATTCCTCGAGTGAGCAGCCTGCCACTCCATCCAGCAGGAAAACCCTCACCTGAAGGCACATGGGCAAGAAGTGACACCCAGGCCCTTGTCTGGCAAGGATGCAGATTCTGCCATGGCAGTTCACTGCCCCCTTCCTCGAGCTCACAATGTGCTGGGCTCCTCAACCCACCTGCCTGGCTCTGTGCTGACACTCGCCCCTCTGCCTGTCTGGGCCCCAGCTCCCTTCCTTCAGCCTGGGTGGCACCCTCCCTGATTCTCCATCCTGAGGGTCTTCTGCAGCTTTCAAGTCGGCCCCCACTCCAGCCTCCTGAGACGGCAGGCTGGCCTGCATCCTGCTCCTCCCCCACTTTGTCATGATGGTGCTCGGGGCCCTGGCCAGGCTCTGCACACACTTTCCAGGCTCCCTCACTGCTGCAGGGCGCTGTAGGTCCATACTGTCCACGGAGGAAACAGAAGGCAAGTGGCGTCCCTGGGGTCTCTGACCCACCTGCGCCACTCCTTGCTGATGACCTCCATCCTGCCTCTGGTCTCAGCCCCTTCTCTTCTCAGTAGGCACACTGTCCACTGATTGTTGGTGGGATTGCTCCTTCCTAACGAGCGGCAGCAGTTTCAGGAAGCTTACACATGTTTCTTTTGGGGAGTGTATTCATTGCAGATGATCTCTCACAGTATATGGCTTGCCTGTTCCTTGGCTAACGGGGAAGAGCAGGATTTTTCTATTTGATGCAAGCCGATTAAGGTTTTTGTGGCGACTATGAATTTGTGTACATAAGAGGTGTTACTATTTGCCTTCAGCATCCTCACAAGACTATCTTTCATTGTCTTCCAGTAGTTTTATACTCTCATACACTCGACATCTTAAAGTGTAGGAAGTTTGGAATTGTGCCAACTATCTTTTCTAAACACAATGGAACCAACAGCAAGAGGAAAATCACAACATTCAAAGGTGTGTGTGGCAATTAACTATAACACCCTCTCAAATGCACAGTGGGTCAAACAACAAACCTGCAGAGACACCCCAACACAGCTTGAGACAAGCTGGAACAAAGTCACAGCCTACCTCCACTTAGGGGATAGAACAAGCAGTCCTCGGGAGGGAGTTTATGGCAATAACTGCTTGCATTGCAAAAGCAGAGCCATCTAGAATCAACAAGCTCATTCATTTTGCAGGAACTAGAAAAGGAAGAACAGCTTAGAGCCAATGTTGGCAGAAGGAAGGAAGTTATAAACAGTGTAGTAGAAACAAAACAGAGCACAGAAAAAGCACAGAGCAAATCAATGAGATGAGCTGGATGCGTGGGAAAGATCGACATAAGGCAGAAACCCTTCAGTACACCGAGGAAGGAAAGCAGATATAACTGGAATCAGAATGAAAGGATGGACAGAAAAACATGGGTCCCACGCACAGCAAGTGGTTCCTAGAGAAAAATCACAGGCCACTTTAGCAACGAGTTGACAATCTAGAAGAAATGGCTAAAATCAGTGAAGCCGACAACCTAGCAGGAGTCAGGCAAGAAAAAAAATGAAACATCCTTATGAACCTGCCACTAGCACAGTGAGTGGTGCCCTTATCAAAATCTTTCCATCTGTGAAACACCCAGGAAGAAATGGCTGCACGTGTGAGGACCACAAGACACTATTTTTTTTCTTTTTATTATTATCATATTCTTATCATTTAATGATATAGTTCCATAGGTGTGGGGATTTACCCTACCACTTCCCTTGATCTCCTTGCCCCACCCCACTGAGTTCACCCATATCATTGCATCAACATAGTCCCTCATACACAGTCATATAAGTCCATCATTGCAGGACAGTGCAGAGAATCCAGCATCCCGTTGTCAGGACATATCCATCCAACAGTTCCACTGGGGAGTCCATTCTCGATCTGAAAATGGAGATGTACACTGCACTCTACCTCACACTTGGACATGTCAGTCTCCACTCTACAGTCACTATAAATCCTAAGATTAAAGCCAAAAAAAAAAAAGCTAATATCAGGAAAAAAAAAACCGCAGAAATGTACAGTGCCATGGAGTTAAATACATGCCATTGGATATGATAGACTCCATTACACAGCTACTATATACATTCCTTTAAATGAAGAACCACAAAACAAACTCAACAACAGAAAGCCAAAAATAGAATCTTACAACGCCATGAGGTTTAATAACTTGCTACTAAATAATTAATGTGTCACTGAAGAGGTGAAAAAGACAATTAAGAACCTTCTTGAAGAAAATGATGCTACCGTATGATCTGCTTAGTCAAAGAATTTAAAGAGAAAATCGCATGTTTTGAACAAATGAAGCTAAAAACAAAAACGTAAAAATCCATGAGCTATAGTTTCTGCTGATCTTTGTTGGTGATGTATCTCCCATAAGCAACAAACAGATGGGTTTTGTGTTTTTAATCTAGTCTGCTACTCTATGATATTTGATTGATTAATTGATTTATACTCACGGTTAATATAAATTGGTGGTAATGTGGTCCTGTCATTTAGCAATGGGCTGTTCATTGATTTAATCTTTTGTTATTTTATGGGGCTGTTCTTCACATTTGCCTTCAGTTTTGGTGGATTCAGTTCCTCCTCTCTGTCACAAGTCCATCTTTAAGTATCGTTTGTAGGGCGGGTTTGGAAGAGGTACATTCTTTTAACTTTTCTTTACTGTGGAAGAATTTATTTCATTCTCCAAGACAAAGGAAATCTTTGTGGGGTACATTATTCTGGGCCAAGAATTTTTTTTTCCTCTTAGAATCTGGAATATGTCACTCCATTTTCTTCTGGCCTGTGGAGTTTCCTGTGAGAAGTCTCCTGTGAGTTTAATTGGCATTCCTTTATAAGTCCATTGATTTTTTCACCAGCACATTTAAGGATCTTTTCCTTACGTTCAGTTGAAGAGAGCTTGATGATCATGTGTCATGGTGATCCCTTTTGGTGCACCGTATTGGGAATTATATGCCCCTCCTGGATGTTGTTTCCCAATTCTTTCCCCAAATTAGTGAAGTTTTCCTTCATGATTTCATTAAATATATTTTTAAACCTAACTTTTCTTTCTGCACCTTCTGGCTCTCCCATAAGTCTCATATTTGGCCTTTTCATAGCGTCTCTTGATTCTTGAACACTTTCATAGCTTGGCCCAGCTCTACTTCCAGCTTTTGTTTGTTTCCCCTGGTGACAGGAAATATCTTCCAATTCTGAGATTTTTTCTTCTGCCTCCTTCATTCTATTCTGGAGACTCTCCATTGTACTTGTAATTTGCTCCACTGTATTCTTCATTCCTGACATATCAGCATTCATTTGATTCATTTCTTGTGTGACATATTCCTTAAATTCATTGAACTCCTGTATTAGGTGCTTCTCATTGTTAAAAAGAAGCTTTATAACAAACATTTTCAATTCTGTATCCCAGTTTTCTCAATGTATTCTTCAGTTACATTTTCCCTGTTTTCTCGATGTATTCCTCTGAGGTTAGCAAAGACTTTTGTTCCTTTGCAGGGGAGTGTTCAGTAATATTCATTGTGCCTTCGTCTCTTGTTTTGGTCTTGGTCATTGTACTTTTGGTGAGCAGATTCTTCTCGTTTGGGCCATGTTTCTAATCTTTGTCACCCACAGGTGTGCAGTTTGATTTTACTTACTGTGGTTGGTACGCAATTCTTTGTTTCTAGTACTTGTGCCAGTCTCTCCAGCGAGTTTCAGATCTAGGGTCTTATTTTGGCTTTCACCATGGCCTGCATAGCAACTCTAGGCTCAGCACGCCGCCTCCCGTGATCCTGCACTATGGTTGCACCATTGTCTACAAAGCATTTCTTCCACTTTCTGTTGGTGCAGGTCCCAGGATTATAGTGTATGCACAGCTCACTGTTGTCAAAGCTTTTGCCATGCTGTACAAAATGGCGCCTAATGTGAAACATGTGGAGTTCTTGATCTGCTGGACATTACGTCTAGGGGCTACCTGGACCTATCTTGGGTGGAACCTGAATGATGGCACATTGTTGCAATTCACTGAGCCTGAAATGAGTTCACTCTCAGGTTAGTGCTTGTGCAGTCCTGTCCCATAGCCATTGCCTCCCTATACACGAAGGAACCCAATTCAGCTCCAGTGGGTGTTTTGCTGTGAAATCTACCCTGTTCCCGCACTGCGTGTTTGGGATCTGCTGCTCTGTCTCTGTGCCTGATCAATTCAAACAAGCCAGCAGGATGGGCA